TTTAAGACGAGGGCTGCAAGAAAACATCGCTTCGCAACCGAGAACTAGGGTTTCTCCAAACCGTGTAGATTGCCTGTCGCTGTAAAACCTGTCCCGGGCCTTTGTGTCACCAAAGAGATGCCCCTGACTGCGAGAGGGTTACTGCGGCCTTCAAGCCCAGGCTGAAACTTTGCACGTAGCCGTGTGAAGAAGGGCTCCCTGAGGTGCAATTCTGCCAACACTTATGGGACCTGTCCTGGGGTCCAGCCGTAGCATCCTGCAACTCGGGGTGTATGCAGGAAAAAGACGCTCAGCCGACACGGGTTACAACCTTTGGACAAACAGGGCTTGTAGGTTCAGTCCTGTGGTGGTAAGAGAGGTCCAACAGTTTGCTGCATATGCTAAAGGGATCGTTTAGGTCGTGAAAACTGTTGGGGAAATATTTGAAATAAAGTCTGCCAACTAAAAACCTGCCTTCCTCAGAGGTAGAGAAACTTTTTTGTTTTGTTTTTCTAAGTAATTATTAAAACATTTTCCTGACACCATTACATGTAATCTTCTAATGGCATTCCAAAGACAGAATTCTCACCTTTGTGTAGCTGAGCATATGCAAAATAGTTTGTCCCTAAAATAAGAGGACTTGACAATACCATTTTATACACATAATTCATCTCAGCTTGACTGAGAGTCATTGGTGGGAACTAATTGCCTTTCCCTAAGGGGAAAATAGGGCACCTTTATCTATCAGCAGGTAGAAAAACATACTTGCTGGTCACTGGCTATGCAAACCTTTAATCCCAGAGGGAGGCAGAGGCAGGCAGATCTCTGTGAATTCGAGGCCAGCCTGGTCTACAGAGAGAATTCCAGGACAGCCAGGCTACACACAGAAACACTGTCTGGAAAAACGAGAAATAAAATGAAAAAACAAACAAAAAACCTTGGGTTGTACAACTGGCATTTACTTTTCAAATTTTACACTTACATGAAGGGACCAGGACCAACAGAAGGCTAATTTATATTCAGCCTTCTGTTTCCTCCAGGAAATGCTATAAGAAAGGGGGGTGTGCAAGGCCTTTCCCTCTTGTCAGGAGGAAAACAGTTTCTGAAGATGAACATTTGCCCTTAGAAAGACTGGATTATTGTCTCTTTCTCTGCCAAATATTTCTATACAAGAATGGTTTTTGTTGTTTTTGGTTTCTGGAGACAGGGTTTCTCTGTGTAGCCCTAGTAAATCCCGAAACTCACTCTGTTCAGGCTGACCTTGAACTTGCAGAGATCCACCTGCCTCTACCTCCTGAGTTCTGGGATTAAAGGCATGCACCACCACTGCCTTTGTTTTGTTAAGGTAGAAGGTCTGATGTATCCTGTCCTGGAACTCACTGTGTAGCAGAACATGGAATTTCTGATCCTCCTTTCACCACCTCCTGGGTTGCTGGGCTTGACAGCATGTACCACCACACTGTGGTTCTGGGAATGAACCTACAGACCCTTCCCAAAGTTCTACCCTTATATTTGAAGAGAAATCTTTGTCTTAAACTTTTGAGAAATGTATAATTCCTGGCAAGAGATTTGTCAGTCCAGCACAGGATGGTGTTGTACAGCTGTAGTCCCCATCAATCAGGAGGCTGAGGCAGGAGGATCAAGAATCAGCTCAGGTCTAGGCTGCATAGTGGACACCTGTCCAAAAAAAAGGTGTAATTCCTGAACTAAGACTCTTTGAGGCCACTGGAAAAGATGGAAGCAGTATCAAAGTGTCCAGCTTGACATATGAACCTGACGAAGACAGTATAAACCTCAATCATGAATAAAGAAATTCTGACAGGGTAGAGGAAATGATAGCCCGAGGCCAGATGGACATATGAGGAGAAATCATAGGAGTGTTTGTTATTTAACAACAGAGTAATGTATAAAAGTCATTAAAATGGTATTTCTGATAAGTTGCAACATTATGCATAGAATACTCATCAAAAAACACAGGCAGAGATACTTTAAAGGTATTTAATATTAAAACAGTTGTATCTTTACTAAGTTCAAGAATAAGAGCTGTCCTGAGTCCCTGTCGTCTAATTCAGTATTACAAAGGAAGCAAAGTTATAGAAAAGAAATTCTAATTTGTAAATGACTACTTTGAGTCAGAAAAGTACCAGAGAATTAACTGAACATTAGAAGCAGGAAAAAAATTGTAAAATAGAACCCTACACAGATGCACTGAGTAGTGTACTTCTAAGCACTATGTACAAGTTTTCAGTATAAATTTAACTGAGAAGATTTATAATAACTCCTAAAACTAGCAATCTATCTACCAGGAAGCTGTAAGTTGATAAACCACACAGCTCGATGGAAACAGGATTGTGCCATTTCCACAGGTTTCCTGACTGATTCAGCCCCACCCTTATCTACTTAGTACAAACCAGTTAACCAATGCTCTTTAGGCAGATGTTCCATCGGATCCTATACCTGATGTCTAAAGTAGGAGACAAAATGTCAACATCAGGGGTACATGTTATGCATATGCAGTGCCTTACTAATAGCCATGTATCATGTGACCACTGACTGTGAACCTTTGTTTCCTGCATACATTCAGAATAATAACAATATCTTTTTCCTAGGAATGTCTGAGAATCAAATGATATAAAACATGTAAAGTGCTTAAAAATGGCAACTCCGGGCAGCCAGCTATAGAACCTCTGACATTTGGGCTGCCCACACAGAAAAAGCTTAACTTTTCCTTTTCGTGTTTTGACTCTGGCCAAAAGCCTAAGCATGCCTTACCCCACACTGCACTTTCCTTAGTAGTGCCGTTCCTTTCCCACTTGGCAGCCTCCAATGCTGCAACAGCATGTGTTCTTGCAGCTCTGGTCTCTCTCTTCCCCTTCTCTCTCATCCCTCCTGCCAACAGATGCCAGGGTTTACAGCTTGCTTCCCTGCTCTGTTGCTTTCTTTCAAATATGAAAATTGTTCCCAAGCTTTAAGAAGCAAAGCGAGTAACTGCATAGCACCAAAGTTTGCATTTGAACTTTTCAAACATTAGGAACGAAAGGAAACTCATTAATAATTTTAATGAATTTTAAATGGCTTTCTTCTTATGCAGAAGACTTAACTGATGGTTCCTATGATGAGGTCTTAAATGCCAAACAACTTGAGAAACTTCTCTACCTGCTGGAGTTAACTGATGATCCTATAATTGTTGAAAAAGCATTGGTCACCTTGGGAAATAATGCAGCTTTCTCAGCTAATCAAGTAAGTCTCCCCTTTTTACACACATTAGTAGTTAGGACTCTGGGTACTTAATTCTCAGAGCCTCCACGTCCTCATACGGCTACTTATGCACACATTATTTGCTTTTTTTGCTTCAGAAAACCACAGCCAAATAATGACACAGGAAGTAATTTCTGAAAAGCTAGACACTAGCATCATATTCATAATAGTTCCTATTCAAACAAAAGCAAAGTTTCCATAGAATAGTAAAAGCACCTAACATGTATGTGTTTAGTTGGATAGCCAACCTTGCTGGAGTGGTCCTGATGTAGGTGGTCCCTCGGCCATCGATAACCACCAAATCAGTGTAAATGGCTAAGACTACAGAGTTTAATTCGAATGCTTCTTTGCTCCTTCCCCCCAAACAAGTAAAAACAGTTTGGGGTTTTTTTCCAGCAGTGCTTCTTGTTAACATTGTCATCAATGCCGACTTATTTTTAGCTAAAAAAAAAAAAGAAAAAAAAAAAGAATTTTGAATGTTTTGCCACTAAAAAGTGATATATGTTAGAGGAAATAAGCATTTAAAGTGATTGGACAACACATACATGTGAGTGGGTAAAGTGCACTGGCCCATGTGAAAAGCCAGAGCCAGGCATGCTGCCAGGCACTTGTAGTCCAGCACTGGGGAAACAGTGACAGGAGTCCCTGGGACTCGTTGGCCTAAGTGGAGCCTAATCAATAAGCCATGATGGTAATGAGAGACTCTGTCTCAAACCAGCTGCTAAGAAACACTACTCAAAGTTGACCTCTGACCTCTGGCTCACATTTGTGAACATGCTCCCACATGCATGAATGTGCACCCCCCCCCCCCACACACACACACACATGAAAAGTACAGTAAGTAAATAATGAAAATAAATAAAGAAATGTAGTAAACTTAGGGCTGAGGACACAGCTCAGTAGGTAAAGTGCTTACCTTACAAGCTTGAGGACCTAAGTTCAAACCGCAGAACTCAAACTAGAAAAGCCAAAAGCCACGGGTGGCACTTGCTTGTAATCCCAGCACTGGAAAGGCAGGGACCATAAGATGATACCTGAGGTTCCCTGGCCAGCCAGCCTCGTCTGCTTGGTTGCACTGATTATACACATTAGTGATGAACTCCAAATCACCAGTAATGCATCTGTGTCACTTTGAGGAATTTAAAAAAAGTACTTCCCCTTAGAGTCAGTTAGACAACAGTGAGTGCACTCTACTCTATGTGTGTGTGTGTGTCTGTGTGTGTGTGTGTGTGTGTGTGTGTGTGTGTGTGTGTGTGTGTGTGTGTGTGTGTGCCTACAGAGGGTCTCACTACTTATTGAACAGTATCTTGGGGTTTCTGTTGCTGTGAAGAGACACCATGACCATGGAAAAAACTCTTATAAAGAAAAACATTTAATTGGGGGTGGCTTACAGTTCAGATGTTTAGTCTATTATTGTCATGGTAGGAAGTATGTCAGGCATGCATGCTGGAGAGATAGCTGAGAGTTCTACATCTGGATCAGCAGGCAGCAGGAAGAGGGTGACACTGGGCCTGGCTTGAGCATCTGAAACCTCAAAGCCCACCCTCAGTGACACACTTCCTCCAACAAGCCACACCTCCTAATAGCGCCTCTCCCTATGGGCTTATAAGAGCCATTTTCATTCAGACCACCACAAAGAGCATAGAAAACATCATGTGGGGATGGCTGGGATTCTTTTTTTTTTTTTTTTTTTTTTTTGGCATTTACATTTATTTCATAGTAAGATTCTATAGCTGAAAACAACATAAAAATTTACCAATGATACCCACAGGAAAGTGCTTACATAAAAGATAATAAGCAATCAGTAATGTGAAGATGTGAAGTAGAAGATAAGATCATGCAAGAGAGGGTGAGAGTTGAGATGAGGATATACCTATAGCTAAACTGAGAGAAGTGAATATTTTCTTATTTTAAGCATATCAAAACTTGTTCTTGTAGTGTGGATGACAGCATGTAGCAAGGTTAAGCTAAGCCAAATGCTCAGCTCTTGCATATTGAGAAGGTTTAACAGACATGTTGATATAAAACCAGAGTTCTGATCTCAGGAGGTAATAGTGACCAAGGACCAGGAACACAGATTTGGGTTGCCCCAAACACAGTGGTATAATGTGGATTTACAGTTACAGAATGAAAGAAAAGCATAAATCAATCAAGGTACTTCTAATACCTATACTGATAGGGACATGAGGTGGCTGTACATCAAAGCAGGGACATCTCAGTGGTGGACTGCAGATGCTATAGGATGACATTCTTGGGTTTTGGTCTGTAAATCTATTCCAAAGAGATTTGTCTGACAGTCACAGGGATGTTAGTTCAAATGCAGAAGTGGGCAATGAATGACTGGTAAGGGGCTAGAGATGGCCCAAGGTAATTTCTATAATAGTCCAACTCCACAACCAAAGATGTTCTAATCAGTCACTGAGCCTTGTACAGTTTAAACATAGGTGTGAACACCCCAGATCTTTGGTTCATACCACTACATTATAAATAGAAAACCAAGAGGTACTCAATGGCAAAAACCAGGCTTTGGAGAAGTTAGTGAAACCATAAACATGGTGTATGAGTTGTGTTTGTAGGATAGAGAAATGTACCTGGGACATAAGTGGAACAAGTCACCTCTAATGCAAATAACCCACATGGAAGGAAAGTTGGCCAGGTTTTGACCCAACTTTGACTATCTTATATAGCATGCCAGATGACATGTGACAGCTGGGATTCTTTACAGAAATTTTTAAGAGTTTTACAAGGGATTAAGTTGCTGACCCAACTGATCCACATAAGAAGCATCAGTTCTCAACCAATATCCATAAATAGTCACTTTCAGCTTCCATATTTGCTACTTCCAGCAAAGGATACACATTTATTATTCTGGTTCAAAGGCAAAAAAGAGTATGTCACTCAGCCCTGTACAATAGTTTAGGTTGTAAAAGTTGATTTCATGGGAAATCCAAGGCCAGGTTGGTAGTAGTTACATTATTCTCTTAAAGCCAGGTTTGTGTACACCATAGGCTAGCAATCTTAAGTAACTTCAAGGTTTATTACTAACTTCGGCTACAAGGTCCAACAAAAGATATTTCAGAATGTTACATCTCCACACTTTGTTGAGTCCCAGCCAGTGAAAGAACTGTCTCAAAAAAAAGGTGAATGGCATGTTGACGAAATGACAACTGATGTTTCCCTCTGCACGCATACATAAACACACATATTCACATAGATACAATTTTTCTTAATAATAAAATTTTCTGACAGGCAGATTTGTTTATAAGAATAGCATTTCTCTAAAGTGATTAATTTTAGTTGTATTTCTAGATGCATGGAATTCAGTTATAGGGCTACATATTGAAGCTATGGTCCATTTATTCCCTCTCTCTTAGGCCATTATTCGTGAGCTGGGTGGTATCCCAATCATTGGAAACAAAATCAACTCTCTGAATCACAGTATTAAAGAGAAAGCTTTAAATGCACTAAATAACCTGAGTGTGAATGTTGAAAATCAAGTCAAGATAAAGGTAAGTTGTCTGAATAATAATGGTGAGTAGTAAAATCAGCAGTGTGTGCTCATAACTTTACAGCTAACAACTACCTTTAAAGAAAGAGAAACTAAGGCAGAGCTATCTATCTCCTAGGCTTTTGGAGTTGGGCTCAGTTTAATTCAGGGATGTTAAAATAATGAAGCCAGTATCAAGGAACACATCCCAGCAGAAAGACTTAGTAAACTAAGAAACCAAGTGGAACCAGTTCACTCCCAGATCTACTTTAGCGTGAAGAAAAGGAACCATTCCGTAGAAGCTGCTGGAGAGTCTGAGGTGTTGTCTTTCTTTCTGAGATATTGTCTTTCTCTCAGGTATACGTCCAGCGAGTCTGTGAGGATGTTTTTGCGGATCCCCTGAACTCTGCTGTGCAGTTGGCTGGCCTGAGGTTGCTCACAAATATGACTGTCACCAATGACTACCAGCATCTTCTCAGCAGCTACATCACTGGCCTGCTCCACCTGTCACTTATTGGAAACGGAAGCACCAAGGTAGGGGATCCAGCCATCAGTACTGAAGGTTGAAGAGCTGTTGCATTAAACTTACTAAGACTGAATTTCCAGTCCGTTCATGGTAGTACACATCTTTAATCCCAATACTCTTGGATTTAGAGGCAGGCAGAGTTCTGAGTTCTGCCTAGTCTACATAATGAGTTCCAGTAAGAAAAAGGAAAGATTGAAATTGCAGTCATCTATTTCTTCCCTGTCACTTCCCTCTAAAAAGATAAGTGCTACCTTAAATCTCAGCACTTGAGAGTCAGAGGCAGGTAAAACTGTGAGCTCACACCAACCTGATCTGTATAGCAAATTCCAACAGGCAGGGCCACATAAAGAAACACTGTATCAAAAAGGAAAAAAGATGGTCCACTCAAAGTTTATGAAAAATACTTACAGAAGTCCAAGAAAAGCATATTACTTTTATCTCCTAACACTGGATTGCACAATCACTGTGCCAAGACCATGTGCTGGGTCACTTGTAGAATCCTGTTTTACTGAGATCACTAGCACCCTTTAGCCAGAAATAGGAACCCTGAATGAAAGGGCACTGAGAAATAGTGACAGTAAGTTGCATCTTTTATCTTTTTGACCAGTCTTTAAAATTAGTATACAAAGTAATAGGTTTCATTGTTTCATTTTTTATGTATAGTTTTGTTGGTTTTGGTTTGGGTTTTTTTGGGGGGAGGTTAAAGATTTTATTTATTTATTATGTATACAACATTCTGCTTCCATGTATATCTGCACACCAGAAGAGGGCACCAGATCTCATAACGGATGGTTGTGAACCACCATGTGGTTGCTGGGGGATTGAACTCAGGACCTCTGGAAGAGCAGTCAGTGCTCTTAACCTCTGGGCCATCTCTCCAGCCCTGGGGTGGGGCGGGCGTGTTTGAGACAGGGTTTCTCAGTGAAAGTGTCCTGGCTGTCCTGGAATTCACCCTGTATACCAGGCTGGCCTCAAACTCACAGAGATCTGCCTACCTCTGCCTCCCAAGTGCCGTTATGTATAGTTTTTGTTACTCCTTGTCTTAGTTAGGGTTTCTATTGCTGTCAAGAGATGCCATGACCATGACAACTCTTATAAAACAAAACATCAAGGGTGGCTCACTTACAGTTTCAGTCCATTATCACCACGGAGGGGAACATGGCAGCCAGCGTGCAGGCAGACACGGTGCTAGCTACTTCTTGATCAGAAAGACAACAGGAAGTGGACTCAGACCCTGGTATATCTTGAACATAGGAAACCTCAAAGCCCACTCTCACAGTAACACACTTTCTCCAACAATGCCACGCCCACTCCAACAAGGCCACACCTCCTACTAGGGCCACTCCCTATGAGCTTATGGGGGCCAGTTACATTCAAAGCACCACATTCCACTCCCTGGCCCCCATAATCTTTTAATATCATAATGCAAAATGCATTCAGTCCAATTTCAAAAGTCCCCATAGTCTCCATAAACAGGCTGAACAATGTTTAAAAATACAAAGTTCAAAGTCTCTTCTGAGATTCATGCAAACGCTTAATTGTAATCCCCTATAAAATCAAAATCTAAAAACAGATCGCTTACTTCCAACATATAATAGCATAGGATCTACATTGCCATTCTAAAACATAGGGAAGGGAGCATAGTGAGGAAATACGGGACTAAAGCAAGAGCAAAAGCCAGCTAGGCAAACTCCAAACTCTGCATCTCTGTGTTTGATGTCAAGATGCTCTTCAGATCTCCATCTCCTTTCAGCCTTGTTGGCTGTAACACACTTCTTTCTCTTGGCCTGGTTCCGTGCCCTGTTAGCAGCTCTCCTCAGCAGGTGTCCCACAACTCTGTCATCTCTAACACCATGGGGACTTCAACTTCACAGCTGCACACATGGCTCTCTAAGCGTCCATTCAGGGCCATGCCTGGCCTCAGTGGCTTTCCTTAGTCTCTGGGGCAAGTTCCATAACCCCTTCTGTCCTTAACTCCAGAACCATGATGCTGAAGTTGCCAAGTTCAACTACTTACTGGTGCTCGAACATGGCCCCCTAGTTCAATTACTTGCAACTTTGCCAGATTTCTGTCCTTCACTGCCGAAAGCTTGCCTCGCCCTGTAGACCAGTCTGGCTTCAAACTCAGAGATTCGCCGGCCTCTGCCTTCCCAATGCTGGGATTAAAGGTGTGCACCACCACACCTGGCTCTAAGCTTTTCTTTAGTTCTCTTTTACAAGTTGGAAACAGCTGGGTAGGATCTTGCCCTGAGGTCACCACTCCCTTTATTCTTTCTATTTCTTAATCCATTTTTCTCCTTGAACACAGGATTCAGCTCTGTTCTACTTACTGGTACCCTTTTCTCAATCTGTGCATTTTGAATTTTCATTTGTTCAGCCTGCTCCTTTTCATTATAAATCTCAGTAAGACTTTACACAAATAACCATACAACAGAATCTGTACTAGGCTATTTTGAGATTTCCTCTGCCAATGGAATTAATCCAGAACTCTTGTTCACTTTAACCTCAGGCAGACTCTTTAGAGAAGGAAAAAAAGCAGCCATGTTCTTCACCAAAATATCACAGGAATGATCTTTAGGCAACATATTGAACCACTTGAGGTAGGTCCCCACAGTTCATCAAATCACTCTTAGCACTTCTGTCTTCCTACTAGTGTGGCCCACTAAGCCGTGCTTAAAGCACACACTGCTTCTCCCGAGCCCAAAGTGCCAAAGTCCAAACAATACCATGGTGCAGCCTATCCCAGCAATACCTCAGTCCCTGGTACCAACTTCTGCCTTAGTCAAGGTTTCTATTGCTGTGAGGAGACACCATGACCACGGCAACTCTTATAAAGAAAACATTTCATTGAGGTGGCAGCTGACAGTTTAAGAGGTTCAGTCCATTATCTTCATGGAGAGGAGCATGGCAGCGTGCCGGCAGACATGGTGCTGGCTTTGTCTTGATCAGAAGCAAACAGAAGTGGACTCAGACACTGGGCAGTATCCTAAGCATAGGAAAGCCCAAAGGTTTCCTATGGGGTTTCCTATGCTTCCTTCCTCCAGCAAGGCCATGCCCACTCCAGGAAAGCCACACCTCCTAATATTGCCACTCCTATGGGTTTATGGGGGCCAGTCACATTCAGACTACACACCCCTCCTCCCCAAAGTCTTTCCTCCTCAACCCTGCTTGCCCTCCTTATCTTCCTCCCTCCCAGTGTCCCTTTCCATTTTCATGTCACACATAGTCCGTCATCATCATCATTACACTATTTATATGGGAGCAACTCATGAGCTGCGTACATGTCCAACTTTCAGGAGGCAGTTCTCCTTCCAATAAGTGGTCTCAGTGATTGAACTGTGGTTTTCACGCTTGGTGGCAGCAAGCCTTTTGCTTCTCACCAGACCTCTTTTAAAAAGTTCTGTATGTGTGTGTGTGTGTGTGTGTGTGTGTGTGTTGGATGTGTGGCATAAAGCATGTGGGAGTCAGAGGGAAACTGGAATTGATTTTCTCTTTCCCCCTTTACATGGATTTAGGGGCTCGAACTCCAGTCCCCAGGCTTGCACACATGCCACGCCTGCTGAGTCTTTTATGTGTTTATTTTTGAGGTGGGGTCTCATATATCCTAGGTTGGCCTGGGTTTCACTGTGTAGCAGAGTGAGATTCTTGGATTCTCATCTACCCTTCACCTTCTGAGTGCTGGGATTACAGATGTACACTACCTTGCCTGGTTTTAGTGTCCTGCTGAAGATGGAACCCAGGCATACACCTCACCACTGCAGTATGTCCCCAGCGCTCCGTTACCTCTTAAAATGGTTTGTGCAAAGTGATCAATTACACAGCTTTCATTCCTGTTATCTGCTGCAAGCTTCACTGACTGACAGCCAGGCACTTTATTGCATATTATTGGTGTTGCCAACAGCATCAGGCCAGCTGAGGTCTCGGAGTGAACTAAAGGGTCAGAGGTCACACTTGCTTTCTTACCTCTAAGAGTCATCATTTTCCTATAAACACTTGTCTGAAAAGCATGATCCTGCGAAAGCATCCCCACTCTCTGGCAGATGGGCCACTAGCACAGACTTTTATTTTCACCTTGTTCTCTTCTACTGTTTGATATTTCATCATGACAATGTAGTCATCTTACAAATTTTTAATTTTTTTTTGGGGGGGGGGGAGTTGGCCTGTAGAGACAGGGTCACTCTGTGTAGCCCTGACTGTCTTGGAACTTGCTCTGTAGAGCAGGCTAGCCACAAACTCACACAGATCTCTGCCTCCCAAGTACACCTCCACACCTGACAAAAATGTAAAAGATGATAAAATTGAGGTTAAGCAGTTTCATCACCTCCTTATTTAGTAGGTTCACATGTGACCAAAGGAATTGTAAGCATGCAGTACAGCATGAAACTTCTTTATTTTCCTGTATTTACAGCTGTTCTAGGGCTAAGGTAGACCTCCATAGGCTAGTGCTTGCCTGGCCCAGGAGACCCAGGTTTGATCCCCATCACCCTCTCCCCCAAAGGTCTAAGGTCAGTATCTATTGGCCTGTTTAATAAGTTCTAAAAATGCACATCCAGGTTCCTTCCGAGATCTAGTGAAAAGTGGAATCATTTTTTTCCTGGGCATCATCCTTCTTCTCACTTTAATTACAACAGTCTTGTGGAAAGTGTGGGTTAGTGTTTTTCAAGAAGGCCTCCTGGGCTAGAGGGATGCTCAGCACTTAAGAGCATGTGCTGCTCTTGCAAAAGACCCAGGCTTGGTACCAAGCACCCACTGGTACTTGGGTGCTTGGAGTTCCACTGGGAACTCCAGCTCCAGAGGCTCCAGTGCCCCCTTCTGACCTCTGCAGGGACTGCACACACATACAGGCAGAAACCTTTATACACATAAACACAATAAATAAGTCTAAACATTTTAAGACATTCTACTTAATAACTGATTTTCAGAAGTAAATAATAAGAATGCTAGCATTTTAATTAGCTATTAAGTCACTTTACTGTCATTTCCCATTTAAATGATCATAAAACATTTTTCACATTTTAAAAAGATTCCTAATAACCTTGTAGAAGGATCCTAGTATCTAATCATGGTGACCAAACACAGAATGTTGATAACTTTCATGAGAAATAAACTAAGCTTTGAGAGATTTCTTTTGTTCAAAGATCAGATTCTTCTTAATAGAGCTCATAATAAAGATGACTTAAGAGCTGGGGGAGCCGGGCGTTGCTGGCGCATGCCTTTAATCCCAGCGCTCGGGAGGTAGAGGCAGGCGGATCAATGTGAGTTTGAGGCCAGCCTGGTCTACAGAGGGAGTGCCAGGATAGGCTCCAAAGCAATACAGAGAAACCCTGTCTCAAAAACAAACAAACAAACAAACAAACAAAAAGAGCTGTGGGAGTGGTTCTGTGGTTAAAGTGCTCATTGTGCAAGCATGAGATGAGAAGTTCCGATCCCAGTACCCATGTAAATGCTGGGTGAGTGGCCTGCCTGTAACCCCAGCACAGAGGTGTGAGATGGGATCCCTGGAACAAGCTGGCTACACTAGCCAGACTGGTGAGCTCTGGGTTCGTGTCTGCCATGAAGTGCAGTCTAGGAAAACACTGACCTCAGCCTCTGTTCCCCTCCTGTGATTTAACACACACCAGATGTACGGTATTGGAAGACATTTGCTTCGTTCATCCTCTCTCCCCAGCAGCTGAGACAGACGGGAGGCCTAGAAGTCACTGATAATGATAGCTGCTCTCAAAGGGGTGCCGAGGGTCAGAGCTGAGTGGATACTTAATGGAGAGAGTTGGAGCCAGGCTTGGGGGTGCAAACAGTAGTTTATGGGGTGCCAGGGAGTGAGAGGACAGCATCCTAGAGGGTAATGCTTCTGATTCAGTAAACCCAGCCTTCTGCCGGCAGGTTCAGGTTTTGAAGCTGCTTTTGAATTTGTCTGAGAATCCAGCCATGACAGAAGGACTACTGAGTGCCCAGGTAAGTGGATCACCTACCTGACTGGTTTGTAAATGCACACATACATAGATTTTGACAAATCCATCTAGGAGGGTGTGCCCAAAAACATTCACAGGGATTATCTCCGCAGAGCAGTGCTAAGATATTAGCTTCTTATTCCTCATACATATGAATTTGTTTCCTGAAACAAGCCTGTTTTACTCTTTAAAAGTTCTCTGTATCAACAGTGAGTTTTCCATCTCTGCTCCCTTTGCAGCACACAGTATCATCTCAGTTTTAAATGTGGTTTGTTTTATGCCCACGTGCCTCAGCATCTGCTGAGACAGCACTGTTGCTGGGCTGCCTGCATGTGCTCAGGCAGAGTGCCTGAACCAACATTCTCACGGAACTTAGGAGACACAAACCTGTAACCAATAAGCAAGATCATTGAAAACCGTCCCCATGTTCTGAAGCAAGTCAGAGTGGCGCAGAGGTGGCCTGGAATTCCCCATCTGCAGCAATAAGCCGATCCACTCAGCCCCATCCCCCATACTGTGTATGGGCAGTAATACTGGTTGAGCTACTGAGTTCTTAGAAAACTGGATGGATCCTAAAATGGTTGGTTTTCCAAATGTCTGCACTCCAGGGTTCCAAAGAAATCTTACTTTTTAGCTAACAAACAAAACCTCATTTTCATTTGTAACATGGAGATAAAAATTGTACTGGTCTCAGTAAGTTAGCAGTTGGGGTTGCTTCCCTGTGGTCAGACTTCTAAACGTAAACTAGTCAGTGCTGTTGTATCAAAATGACACTTGGTATTTCCTCTTTCAGGTGGATTCTTCATTTCTTTCCTTTTTTGATGGCCACATAGCAAATGAGATTCTTCTTCGGGCACTTACACTGTTTCAGAATATAAACAACTGCCTCCGAGTGGAAGGCTGCCCAGCTGGTCAGCCTCCCTTCGCTAAAGGGTCATTGTTCTCCCTGCTGTATGGAGAGGACTGCGCCCAAAAAATGAGGGCTTTAGCCCACCATCATGATGTGGATGTGAAGGAGAAGGTTTTAGCGATAATGCCGAAGGTCTGATTGGCTGCCCCTGCTTTTCTTTAGAGTCATACAGTCATAAGTCAGCACACAGCAGCTTACTGTCTATCTATCCTTCCTTTAAAAGTGTTGTTTAGCTGATGAAGTCAAACAATAAAAGTCCTATTTTGTTAACACAGTTCAGGACGGTGAGCAGCTGTAATCCAACATGACATTCAAACTTTGGGACTTTGAAGTAGCTCAGATTTGGGGTTTGAGGATTAGGTATGATCAACAGTCTACAAATATTCCAGTCTGAACATTCAGAGGATGTGACTCACTTCTGGGACAAATGTTTAAGTTAGGTTCATAGACTGATTTGCTCTTCGGGTTTATTTTGATTGGTTTTATTGGTATCAAATGAGCAGGAGAGATTGTACTGCAGATACTTACTGAGATCTTAATGGTTGCCTCACATGGAATGAGTGGCCTTTCTCTGTACATTCCTAACTCCTGGATTTTCAGCTGCTCATGAGCCAGCTTTAAGTGCTGAGTGGAAGACTTTGAAGACTAGAACTGCCACAGAAGCCTTGTACCTCACTGAGCACAGTGATACTGAGCACAAGACTCTGTTCATCATCAGAGTCTTCCCTCATCATTTCTGATCATAAAACTATTTCCATTCACAGGGAATCCAAGTTTGCACCCTCGGGCAGCTGGTAAACCAAGCAGCTAGGCTTTAAAAGAGATGGACCCGAGTGAGTTTGGCTGTACTCACAGGCCTAAGAAATGGGTGTTTTTAAAAGCATGCTGTAAAACAGTGTACAAAAAGAAATACATTTATACATGGGCAGACTTCTAAAATGATACGTAAACTTCTGGGCATAGGACTGGGAGGTGGGTACATTGGATTTTCTGTGTGTACTCATTTCTACTGTTTGGAATTTTTTTACTGAGCAAAAATTGTATAATTTTTTTAATAAAAATAAAAATGCAAAGGTGTACAAAATGTCTTCCCCCATTGGCATTATGTTCTTAATTTTCATCCACATTTTACTTGACTAAAATTACAATGTATAATTTTTTTAAATGTATTTGTATGAGTGTTTTGCCTGTGTTTATGTATGGACACAAGGTCAGAAGGCATTGGAACTGGAGTAGTGATAGATGGTTAAAAACCACTCTGTAGATGGTTATAAACCACCGTATGGGTGCTGGGATCTGAACCCAAGTCCTCTACAAGAGCAACAGGTGCTTTTAGCTGCAGCCATTTCTAAGCCCCTATAAACATTTTCAGCTATCTTTTCAAATACTCATATCCCAGGAAGTATTAAGTTCAAGGTCCTTGAATTCAGCCAGGTTCTACGGTATGTCCATTCTGCCTGTGCTTAGAGCTGTGTGCAAACAGAAGTGTCACTCTTTGTGTGTGTGAGAGAGAGTCGAAGCTTTAGGAGTACTTCAAAATGCATTTGTAAAGATGTAGCTACTAGAGTGTTTGCATGAGTCACAAATCCTCAAACTGAAAAATGTGTTCTCAGGGCTGATACAGACATCAGCTTGGAAGAATCTCTTTAGAACAGGAAAATGTTTAAGGTGGGACTACAAGTCTTCAGGGGGCTGGAGTAGCACCAAGCCATGATGGTTCACAACACTTAAAACATGCTGACGACAGCATTCAAGGTATTCTCTCAAAAGCACATTTCTGCATTACAATTTTTTCAAATCTGCCTGTTTAATAAAAGCAAGCATTAAGAAGATTGTGCAGGGGCCAGAATGTTTGCAGTGAGCTTCCGAAATGGTGGGTCTAGATGTTCCTTGCCATCCTTATCTCCTCCATCAGTCTGAAGAGCCTTGCTTGCCAGCAGCTGACTCTGGAGTGTCAACGGGCTGAGTGGGTATCACATAGCTACCCAGGAAGAACTTACAGTGAAACATACAAATAGGTTATAGCATGCCAAAGAAGGACCCAGCCTCAAAGGCAGCTAGTCATATGGAAGGGTCTCAGTGACGACACTGATCAGAAAGGAATGTGAAATTGACCTGGAAGATCGACTAGACAGTATTTACAATATTAGACTGACAAGAGAATACATTTTCCCAAATTTATTTTCACTTTACACATACATCCTTTGAAATGTACATTAGAAAAATAAAGTGAAAATAGGGTGGCTGTGTTAAAGAGATACTTTATGTACTTCACAGTGAATGGAACTTCTATGGAAACAGAAACACACAAATCCTGAGGAAGCCTAGAAAAAGGAGGCAGGCCCGGTTCAATGGACTAGAATGCAAAGCACCTGGAGAGCCTCCAGCAGTACCTGTGGACACAAAAGCAATGTCGAGGCCATTCATGGAGAAACACTTGAGCAAATTTATCAGATGCTTCTTAAGTAAGAGGATTTTCTGTAGGACAGGATGCCTGCAGGGGTGCCAGGTGGAGCAATGTCCCCAAGGCTGGCCACTACACAGGTTCACATGTATTTGCAGTGGGGAGACTGCTAATGCTGATTCCAAATGCAATCTTGTGCTTCAGTGCCTCCAAGTTACATTCACTATGCACACAGTATTACCACACACATTTCCCCTTGACTGGGACGAACATGGTATATAAAACTACCAAATTCTGTTATCTTTTATATTGGCTATTACCCTCTAAAGTCAGCCTCCAGTTGGTGTTTCCAACAGAGCCAGCGCATTACCAAAAGCCTTTTCTGTGCCTGTCCAATTCAGACAGTCCTATCTTAAGTTTGCTCCCTCAGATTTCTTTTTTTTTTTTTCTTTAAAGATTTTATTATGTATACAACATTCTGCCTCCACGTATATCTGCACACCAGAAGAGGGCGCCAGATCTCATAACGGATGGTTGTGAGCCACCATGTGGTTGCTGGGAATTGAACTCAGGACCTCTGGAAGAGCACTAAGTGCTCTTAACCTCTGAGCCATCTCTCCAGCCCCCACTCCCTTAGATTTCTAAAGTGCTCTTTAAAAAAAAAAAAAAAATTATTCTCCCCTCTGTAGGTTAACATTGTCCTCTTGTCATACATGATGAGATCGGTTCTGAACACAGGTAATCAAATCCTTGACTGAAGGATGAAATTCCAATGAGAGGCCTGGGTGTGGCATGCATATATCCATGCAAATCTATTGAAGTACTGAGTACTCTATATAATATTTGATATATCTATAGAGAGAAAACCTACAGTGTTTTGTGCCAAGAAAGTTGATTTCATTGGTGTGAGTCAGAAACAGAATACACCCTCACTAACACCTGGGAAGCCCACTTCCTGAAGATTCACAACAAACTTGTGGATGCAGAGGCACACTGGTCCAAGACAGTATACATTCTGGGCAGCAGACACCAAGAAGCTTGAAAACAACTCCTGTAATTTCACAATGGCTTACTAAATGGTACATTTGTGCTTATAGGTTATTTAATATAAAAATATATAATACATCCAAGTCATGTAAAACATACTTACAAATCTTACTGATATATTTGGGGTTAGAGCTCAGAGAGAACAGGAAAAAGTGTGTGTGTGTGTGTGTGTGTGTGTGCGCGCGCACTCATGGAAAATGAAAATAAAACCTAGTTCCAAGCACATGAGGTATCGAATTTAGGATATGTGAGACACTCCACTGTAGTTGCAACTGTGCCTAGCAGTGTCTGGCTTAATTTAAACTTCTCCTCCATCTCCAAACCACATTGTTCTCTTCTCCACCCATGAGCTTTTAACGTGGGCATGCCGCTGGGTAGATGTTGCCTGCCCTCTGAGAAATTTAAGTTAAAGTTACTCATTGAGGTACAAGAACTGGAATACTTCATGCCAAGGAGCTTCTTTTCACTATAGTTAAAATAATTTTATGCAATGTATATTTATCCACAATAAAAAATTTTAAATGATAATTTAGCTCAAACACCTACGTTCTCATGCTTAACAAAATAAATCACTTAACATTTTGCATGTAAGCTTATATTTCCTCTTGAGACAGGGTCTTCCCTGTAGCTTGGGTTGCTTTGAACTTGTGATCTATCTGCCTCATCCTCTGAGTGCTGGGCTTGTAGGCATGCATCACCATGACCAGCAGCTCATCCTGATGACAAAAACTGAATGTGCACTCAGATGTGGAAGTCACGTTTATCATGACAATATGAGTATAAGAAAGGTGTGTGTGTCTGAAAAAGCTCAGTAGGTAGGTAAGCTTGACTCCTTTGTAGAAAGCCCTGAATAACAGAAAAAGAAATGAAACCTTAATGTCAGCTTTCCACCACCTCAGAAACCTACCACCACTAAAATGTAGTGTTTTAATAAAAACTAACATATTGCAATGTTTGTGTCATTGGTATGTGTTTTTTTTTTTAAGTCTGCATTGGACAATTCTTTAAATAACCCTCTCTGGACTCACACAGTTTATATAAGTGAGTCTTATCATTGGCAAGTTATAATGCAAAACAGAACACACGCTCAGAAGTTGTTTCTATGTGAAAAATGTCAGAGTATTTGAGAGTTTCTTAGTCTTCTATTTGTTTTCACTGAAAATTCCCATTTTCATGTTTCTTCAAAAGCTTTATCATTATTCAAGTATCTTGATTCGCCGTGCTTCAGGACAAAGAAATCTTCACTTTTAAGTCCATATCTTTCTAGAGCTTCATTCAGTTTCACTGGAGGTTCTAAGTAATGCTGGAAAGTGACAGGAAGAAAAATGAAAACTTACAGTACAAATACTTGAGGGCCATTTCAAATAAACATTCAAGCTAAAAATAAATTTAAACCACCAAAATTTGCCTACGTAATTCTTTTAAATGAACCAATAGCAAATATGTCACTACACAATTTAAGTCACTAATGACAAAGTCACTATAACTGTCTAGGATGAGAAAGCTCTACGTCCATCCAAATATCCATATGTGCATTGTGATGTCCCCCTGCGTCACACAGATGCCAATCCCTGTCTCACATGATACAGTTTCGGTGTAGCTGGAATCAATACCAAGAAATGACATTACAGGACTGGATGATTACACATTTAAGCATGTGGGATTCTGTTCACCTGTGTTTTTGTGGACAGGCAAATATTTGTGGCTGAAGAAGGCTGTTACCCACAACAGCCCCATGAGCAAACCATGTCAGAGGACGAAGGGCCCACGAGAACAGACAGTGCAGTACAGTTCCAACTCCCGTATGGCCTCAATGCTCCCTCACACGGTAAAAACAGAGCAAAGCATGCTCCAGAATGTTTTTACACACTCAAATTTTGTTTTGTTTTCTCTGTGTAGCTTTGGAGCCTGTCCTGGAACTTGATCTGGAGACCAAGCTGGCCTAGAACTCACAGAAATCTCCCTGCCTCTGCCTCCTGAGTGTTGGGATTAAAGGCATGAACCACCACGGACTGGCAAATATTTTCTGAAAAAGTTCAAACTGGCTAGGCAAGATGGCTTAGTGGGCCAAGATACTTGATGCGAAACTTGAGACCCTGAGTTAGATCCCTAGACCCACATGGTGTAAGGATAAAAATGGTAGGTAGTGGTGGCACACACCTTTAATCCCAACACTCAGGAGGCAGAGGCAGGCAGAACTCTGAGTTCAAGGCCAGCCTGGTCTCCAGAGTGAGTTCCAGGACAGCCAACACTACAGAGAGGACAAAACTGGCCCTCTCTGACCTCTACAAAACTGCTGTGATGCTTATGCATGTGCCATACACAAACAACGTCAATTATAAAAGTGCAAATCACTTGAATGTTTTCTTATTTCTCTTTTGACCTAAATCTCTCCTGTATACTAGCTTTTTGAAAAAAAAAAAAAAAAAAAAAAAAAAAAAAAAAAATTTCATTCAAAGGTGTTTTTGTTTTCCTAATTAGTCAGGCTGTAACATTTGGAAGTTTAAAAAAGTGAAAGTTTTCTGAACTAACCATCAGTGGGAGTCTGTCTTCCCTTCTGAGAACTGTCTTCTATGCATCTACAGAGTGTGTCAAGCTAGTGAACAGAAGTCTTTATCCTTGTAATACAGAGATAGACACGAAAGGAAATACGGTATCTGAGGATTTCATATGGTCTGAGAAGAAGAAAGTGCTGGCAATGAGGCTTGCTTTAAATACAATCATTGAAGAGGCCCTTCCAACAAAGCAGCCTCTAAACACACCTGTGGGCGAGGCTACTCCGGTGCTGCAGGTGATCTCAGAGCAGAGACCCCAAACATGAGGCCACTCGGGATGTATCCTGAGTTGATTCAAACTGTAGAGGTCTTTGATAGTGCTGAGGACTGACTAAGGGACAATGTGTAATCGTGAAGACTGAGCCTCTGTGAGGGTGGGAGGGAGGAGGTTCTAGCTGGAGGAGGAGACAGCTTACAGGTAAATGTGACCGGCAGAGAGGACCTAGGCTAGACAGGTGACAGAGCAGAACACGAAGCAGGAAGACCAAGGGGACACACGGGAAAGGGAAAGAGCTCTGTTTTCCAGTCTGTTTTCCACTGGCTGAGTTAAAACTCTATACACAACTAATAAATTCACAATAAAGGCTGTGCTGTCTGCCTAGCTATCACACCCTCTCTCCTGAGCAACATCCCAGACAGAATTAAACGGCCAATGAGCCAAGGCTAAAGCCAAAAGCATGCCCTCTAATAGCACTGAGCCATCTCTTTCTTAACTGCACTCAAATCTGCCCTTGGCGTTCACTCTTTCCTAACACTGAGTTGTCTGAAACTTTCCTGTGGCTACACGAGCGGAGTCTCTGGGAGAAACACGGATTGCCCAGGCAAAGTGCTAGCTCCATCTTCTCATTGCTCGACTGTGGGGCAAGACTGCTGCCCTGCTGCATTCAGGACTCACAAGGAGAGAAGAGTGAGCAACAGTGAGAACAGATAACCAACGAGATAGAAACGCCAGGCAGCATTTCCTGGGGTTTAAATGGACTCATGGGTGTTGTCTTCCTTGCTTATTTCCACGTTTTGGCTATGTTTAAAGGATCATTGGCAGCATTCAACTAGCTGCTAAATAAGGTTTTAAGTAAACCTTATTTAACCTCTCATTAATGGATGGCAGATAGCAAGAATCTATTGTTTGTCTAACATATATAATATTATATATGTATATATCAACTGTTATATGCTATGTAGCACATATAGCACAAAAATAAATTACATTTATTTTTAAAACCTTTAAAATAATGAAATTCTTCCCCACTGAAAAACAGCTCCTCCAGGTGGTGGTGGCGCTCACCTTTAATCCCAGCACTCGGGAGGCAGAGGCAGGCAGATCTCTGCGAGTTCGAGGCCAGCCTGGTCTTCAAAGAGAGTTCCAAGACAGTCTCCAAACCTAGAGAAACCCTGTCTTGAAAACCTGAAAAAAAAATAGCTCCTTATCATATGAACAAGGGGGGGTCAAGGTCATGATGGGGGAACCACAGAGACAGCTGACCTGGTCCAGTGGGAGCTCACAGACTCTAGACTGACAGCTGGGGAACCTGCATGGGCCTGAACTAAACCCTCTGACAGTTATGTGGCGTGATCTGTTGGGGGTGGGGGGCTGTCAGTGGGACCAGGGCTTATCCTGGGTACAGGAACTGACTTTTTAGAGCCCATTACCTATGGTGGGATACCTTGCTCAGCCTTCATACAGGGGAGAGGGGCTTGGTCCTGCCTCAACTTGGTATGTCAGACTTTGACTCCCCAAGGAAACCCTTACCCCATCAGAGGAGTGGATGAGGGTGGGAAGGGGGAGGATGTGGGGAGACAGGAGAAGGGGACAGAAGGGAACTAGAGCTATTATGTAAAATGAAAAAAATTTTAAAAATTGTTTTACAAAAAAAAAAAAAAAAACCATAGCTCCTGTTGTTAAGTTCTTGTCACCCCTGTTTCCCAAGGTTTTGGTCAACAATACAGATACACAATCGCCCTACACTGATAACCTCTTTGCTAGCTCTAACTTTGCAGTGTCAAACATGATGACATTAAGGACTCAGTACATTTTTATAAGGTTGTAGCTGGTGGGAGACCTTCTGTCTTTATCTGAGTTTTTCCATAGGTAAATTCTTGGCTATTCTAACCATCTAGGGACTGGCCTTAGTATTAGGTGGGAAAAGCTTCTGGATGACTTAGATTTAGTATCTTAGAATCCAAGCACAAGGAAGAAAACAATGCTCACAGTCACAGAAGCCAGAACCTAGGGAAAAGCAAGTGAGTGAGTCCGAGAATGCAAGTAAGAGGAGGGGAAGAACCCCTGAATGTGGGGCCCATTAGCCCCGGATAACTGCTAACAACTCACTTCCAACAGAATCTAGTAATAACACCACCCACGTTGGCTAGCAGGCACACTAGCTTATGTAATTACAGAACGCTACATCAAAGTTAGACATTAGTACACATACTACACGTACAGAACTTTAGGATGCTGTTGAGTTACAGACATCTGTATCCTGCTTATAACACAATGAGCAGCTATTTCAAGTGCATATACAAAATACCAAATATTTAGAAACTACAAGCTAAACACATCTAAATTCCCACAGACTTTAACACTTTTGCATTAGTTGAGTAAACTGGCAACTACAAAAGAGTTAAAGAAAAGATGAGTTGTTACTAAAAGCCTCAGGAAGAAATAAAGATGGGAGAACAGCATGAACATATCTCTCTTTGTTTGAGATTTTTGGCACTGATATATACTGTATTCAAGTAGCCCAGAATGGCTTGCCACTTGTCATGCAGACCAGACTACTTGCAGTCTTCCTGCCGCCACTGGGAGTCATCAAACATATTTCTTAAAGGCTAAACAGTAATGTGGTGGTTGGAACAGTTGTGTTTGAATATTTGGCCCAGGAGTGACACTATTAGGAGATGTGGCCTGTTGGAGTAGGCCTTGTTGGGATGTGTCACTGTGGGGGTGGGTTTTGAGGTCTTATATGCTCAAGCTACACTCAGTGTGGTACACAGTCTCTTTCTGCTACCTGTGGATCAAGATGTAGAACTCTCAGCTCCTTCTCCAGCATGTAGACCAGTATGCCTGCATACTACCATGTTTCCCACCATGATGATAATGTACTAAACCTCTAAAACTGTAAGCTGTTATGGGATTTCCTGACCAGTTCCGCAGCCGCCTTGTCCCAAATGAACACACAGATGCTATATTAATTATGAAACTGTTGGCCAGTGGCTCGGGCTTCTTATTGGTTAGCTCTGTCTTAATTATTAACCCATAACTACTAATGTAGTATGTATTTCTACATGGCCTTATCTTACCAGAGAACTCCTGACTTACGTCATCTCTTCCCAGGCTCATACGATGACTCTCCTCTCTGCCTACACTTCCCAGAATTCTTTGTCTCCTAACCCCTCCTATCTTTCTGCCTGGCCAATCATTTATTCATCAACCAATAAGAGAAACATACACAAAAAGGCAACCCCCATCAGTAAGCCAGTCCCAGTTAAATGTTTTCCTTTACAAAGTTGCATGGTCATGGTGCCTCCTCACAGCAATAGAAACCTAACTAAAACTAGTGAAATCATTCTTTTTTGTTTGTTTTTTGAGACAGGGTTTCTCTATTTAACCTTGGCTGTCCTGAACAGTCACTCTGTAGACCAGGCTGGCCTCGAACTCACACAGATCCACCTGCCTCTGCCTCCCAAGTGCTGGAATTAAAGGTGTGTGCCACCACTGCCTGGCTGTGAAAGGATTCTTGATGGCTGAGGTTTGATCATCTCCTAATCTCTCCATCTCAGGTCTGCCCAATCACTGAAGCTGAGTCTTCACCCCTTCCTTTACAAAGATTTGATTAACATACTACTATCCCAGCTAGGTCACCACAGAAGACACATATGGAACGTTAGCACACACAAACAGTAGAGACATCATAAGAAGCAGCCATCAAATAGCAGTGTGCAGATATGACAGTTCACACATGCACTTCAGATGCACGCCTTCCTCCTAGCTCTGTAGGTTTTCAATTATTCCCCCATGCCACCTCCAGAAACCTCTGAAGGGCTGCTGCATTACTCAGGGTTATTGCATCAGAAGACAGACATTTCAATTAGGGGATAGGAAAATGAAAATTGCATCCGTTAGGTAATTTTGGAACAAACTGTATCTTAGGAAGAGACCACACCAGAAACAAAGCAGAATAAGAGGGTTAAAAATAGCAAGGAAACACAGGGTCTTCACAGAGGCTCTGGAAGACAGAAGTGGTCACCAAAAGCCAAGCAGGGGAAGTTAACTTTTTTTTTGGTTTTTCGAGACAGGGTTTCTCTGTGGCTTTGGAGGCTGTCCTGGAACTAGCTCTTGTAGACCAGGCTGGTTTCAAACTCAGAGAGATCTGCCTGCCTCTGCCTCCCGAGTGCTGGGATTAAAGGTGTGCACCACCAACGCCCGGCAAGCAAGGGAAGTTAACTTCTAACCCTTTCTCAACATCGCTTGCACTTAGACCCAAGAATGAAGAGATGGCATTACTAGACTTCCTGATCCCAGAACCCACGCCAGGAGCAGAGCCCAGGGATCAGTTCCCTGAGGAAGAATCAGCTCTTCTGATAATGTCCAAATAAAGCACATTTATCCCAGTGTATGGAAATAACAAACACTGGGAGTTAACTAAATGGGTTACATGTTTCTAGAAAGCCCCGCACTCTTGTTCTCTTCTCCTACTGCCCTCCACACCGCCCACTCTCCTGCTGGACAAACTCCTCACTCCCCTCATGTTGCTGCCTCCAACCCAAGCTCTGCCCTTTCCTCCTCTGCAAACAAACACTTTCCTTCTCGCCTGTGCCACGATAAAATTACCTTCTTCCATAAATCCATTCCTGATCCCTCCCTGTCTTTGAGACCAATTAATCCATTCCACATGACAGAACTTCCACCTTCTAGTATACAAACAATGTACGTTGTCTTCCAGCTTCTACTAGAACAGAAGCCATCTGGAATGCAGAGACATGATGGTTCATTTTCTACACTGCACACAAATTCTGGATAAGCACGTGCTTCATTAACTATGGAAATCAGCCTAAGAAACAGCACACACTGTTTTCAAGTGTTATCTTACTAGGAGGTATGCTTTACCCCTGCAGATTATGTGATGGCTGTGATGACTATATGGAGTTTGAGTACACAGTGGTCTCTGAAAGCACAGAGATACCTAAATCCTACCAACACACAATCAAAGCTGAGGTTTCTGTTTGTTTAACTCAAACTTACCTCATTAGCTAAGGCAAACGTTCCCCAGTGAATTGCCACAGATTTCTTGGTTTGAACATCAATATGAATCCTTACAGCATCTTCTGGGTCTACATGCTGGTATTTCATAAACCACCTGATGGAACACAGCAATTAATTCAACCTCTGAAAACAGCCTAAATTCAAATGACTGTTTCATATATGGACATTTAATAGTCTGCACATCTAGGGAGACCATTATGCAGCTGAGAGCAAGCACTACTCTTGTAGAAGACCTGAGTTTGGCTCCCGGTGCCCACATGAGACAGTTCACACTGCCTGTAACCCCAGCTCCAGGAGACCCAATGTTCTTGAATGGCCTCCTTGGGCTCTTACACTCACACCCACAAACACACACATTTATGTGCATAGTTAAAAATAAAATTTAAAGGAAAAAGATTCTTCTAGGATTATGAATGTTTGAAAACTTAGCAGCACACTGTGGTTATCTTTTTCAGCCTCACCCTAGTGCTTCATAGGACTTTATGTCAGTACACCTAAGAACTTCACCCAATCACTAGCAAATGCTGCAACAAGCAGTAGTGTTGCATTCAACCACTTTTCAGCCATCAAATCCACATGGAGCTGATCCAGAAAACTTACAATAGAAAGTTACTCCATGATTCTGATGTAACTATTGTGGGTTGGGACAAAGGCATGAGGCTTGGGCAGCCAGAAATGAGAATCACAGAGAAGGAACACAAGCAGTGATCAATGAACCAGACACTAAGTCTGGAGCAGGCCAAGACGGTAAGAAAACACTTGTGAGGCAGGAATGAAGAGACGGGCTCTGCTGCCCTTGCCAAAGACCTGAGTTCAGCTCCTAGCACCCTCATCAGGTGGCTCACAATGGCCTGTCACTCCAGCTCTAAGGGAGCTGACACCCTCTTCTGGCCTCTGTGGGTACCCAAAATGCATGACATTCACTCACACAGACACAAATACCCATAAGTATTACAAGTGAAATCTTATGCCAGGCATGGTGATGCAGGCCTTTAATCCCAGCACTCGGGAGGCAGAAACAGGCAGATCTCTGAGTTGGAAGCCAGCCTAGTCTACGCAGAGAGTTTCAGGACAGCCAGGGATACACAGAGAAATGCTACCTCAAAATAAATAAATAAATCATGAATAAAATCTTAAAATATATGTAAACAAATAAACAAGATTCTAAACAGAAGTAAAATCCATTCACAGTAAAACCACTTCCCTTGTTCCACTTTTCTCTGGGGGCACAAAAAGCAAAATTCTTGTGTATATAAATTGCTAAAAAAATGAGTCTCAGGCTTTATTTCATGTTTACTTTTGATTTGTACTGATGCTGTGTTTTTAAAACATGACCTATTACTTTAAAAAGCAGATACTCTGCAATTTTAGAAATAAATGAAAGAAATGTAATAATGGGTAAAGGATTGGAACGCAAGCTCCAGTTACCATTGAACAAGGATATCCTACTAACCAAAGGAAATCAAGCAAAGAGTTAGTGTATAAGGCAGGGTACTATGGCATACACTATAACTCTGTCAGTCCACAGGAGGATCCTAAATTCAAGGTTGGACTACATTATTTCTCAAAAAGAAACAGTGTTCAGTGTACAAAGGAACAGAAAGCCCCACTGCCAGTCAAGGCATTTTATTTAAAACATTATAAAACTAAACAGTGGGGTGTTGGCTGGGCAAAATACTCCCAAGTGACTACAGATAACAAAGTCCTGGAAGACTGGCTAACACCTTGGAGCCCCTGAGTCACAAGTGGTTGGAATGCCTTTGGAAAGGCCTCTCAAACTCCCTGGGCTTCCATTTCCATGTCTGTAAAGGAAATGTGAAGGTTAAAGTAGGCAGTTTGTCAAAACATTAAATGCAGCATCTGTTCATAGACCCCCCTCCCAGAAAAATTAACAAAAGCACCATCTTCAGGAAAAAATGAATTGTGTTTTATACAAAGGACATGCAGGTTTTCCTCTCCAAGCTATTAGTCTGGCTGAGGAGAAACATTTTCTCCATATTCTTTACATCCTAGTTTGCCACTACCAACCAATGCTAGAGAGACTAAAGGTGTGGAATCTGCACAGGTGTTCTGCCCTTCCTAGAACTCATCACCATTCCTCTACAAGAGTCCGTTCCTCTACAACAGCAGTTGACGGGTCCTCTGAGAACCCCAAAACAAAGCCAGCCTACAAAGCAGCATTCTGCCTAGGTCCTGCTGCTTGGGAGTGAAGGCAGAACAGAAACAGTCTTGGTGTGTCTACTCATCTATTAAACAAGCGTACTACAAATCCTACTTCTTTTCTAACTTCTGTTTACCTGAACTAAATTCTGTTTTGTTTTGTTTTTTGTTTTTCACTCGAGCCATTAAGATGAGAACGATAGCACTAAGGCTGACAGACCACTTGACCTAGCTTGTTCAGGGCTCCAGATTCAAGCCCCAGCAATGCAAGTGGAAAAAGCAAATGCAAATTCCAGCTACAATGTCTGGGGATGAGAGACCTTGGAAGTAGGAATGAAATATTCCCAGCACACAACATTTTTTTTTTTTTTTTGCTGTAATGTGTGCTTACATGTGTACAGGATTCCTAAGGTTTATTTTATTTCTAAAACAGCTAGTATTGATAAAACAAAATCAGATTCCACAGTACATGTGAGCTACCACATTTAAGGCTCTTAAAGCAAGCCATGCCTCGCCCCCATCCCCACCCCAGCCCAGAGGCACTGCAGAGAAGGAGCAAGGCTGTGAGCATGCAATTTGTGCCATCACCTCATACATACATACTAAACACATACGATGCCACCATGAAAGCTTGTTTCTGTAGCTATAAAGAGATACTGTGGTAAGTAAAAGCCAACACCATTTGAAAATGATCTGTAAAAGTTTTTTAAAGCCATGTTGATTGATATTTTCAGAAGTTTAGTGGGAACCAGAATAATCTGAATGGAGAAAGTAGAATTCAAATACTAATACTGACTTATAATAATTTCTGTTGTGGTCTGTACTGGTTGGTGGTGGTCTTTCGGAACAGATCCTCCTGCCTCAACCTCTAAGTTTTGGAGTTTAGAGGCGTGTGCCACCTTATCTGGCAAATTATGATAGTTTTAATAATTACTAAGAACACAAACAGGTAAAAGTATCTAAACTCTCCCACAATAAGGAAATAAGTAAAGCTAAACCAATAAATGAAAGGATCGATGTTAGTAAGGACAGAAAAATGGCTTGGTGAACTTAACAAATGAATTTGATGGGGATGGGGATATAGCTCTGGATTCAATCCTGATACAAAAAGCAAAAAGAAAACTGACAGATGAACAGATAGATAGATATCAAAAGAAAGCAAAATATTAGATTTACCCAATCCATCACCCTGTGTACAAACCGCTCGGCAAGTGAGTCCCAAGCCTTGTTGAGATTATAGGTACACTGCATGTACTGGAGATACAATGCTTGCAGGGTTGCCTGAGTAACATACATGTATCTGCACGCTGTGAAAAGTACAGAAAACCTGGAATGTATGGTGTGTGCACAAGTGTATGAGGGCATGTTCAGCCCAGAGGTCACCATCAGCTGGTTCCCTTAATCACTCTCCACCTTCGAAAGGAAAAGAATTATCACAGGGATCAAACTCGGGACTTCAAGTTTTACCCTGATTAATGAGTGCCTTTACCCCCTAATCTATTTTGCCAGTCTCACCCCCACACACACCTTGTTTTAAAGACAGCTTCTCTCACTAAACCTGGATCTCACTAACTGGTGACACTGTCTAGCCAGTGAACAACCAGGATCCTCCTGTCTGCCTCCCCAGCTCTGGAATCCCAGGAATGTGCAAGCAGGCAGACTTTTTACTGTGGGTTCTGAGCATCTAAACTAGAATAAGCAGTCATTTCATTGCCCAGGAAGTCCGTTTTGTTTCACTTGTACATCTGCTTGACTGAGATCATCGAAATCATATCCCTTCTTAAAGAGACAGTATTTAGTAGAACAGACAGTAGTTAGGTCTTCTGGGTCTTTGGTGACAGTGTAGCCCTTAAGTGCTCTCAAAATAAATGCTGAGCATACAGCTGTAGGAGGGAGGATTGGAAATTCCCAATCACAAAGCAGAGACATTTATCTGCAAAAAGAATCACCCCTGTGATTCTGGGTACTGGCTAGTAAGCAGGAAGGAATGTGGGCTCTGCAAGGTATAGAAATTCCTTTGTTTTCCTAGATGGCTTCCTGGAGTGAGCTACTGGGGCCTAGCCCAATTCTTATACCTTGATACAAAATTGAATATAAATCTAACTTCAACCTGTACCAATGTACACCAAGCCCACCACTAAAATCACAATTACATAGTACCAGGACTCCTTTACAAACCTTGGCTCATAAGCTCCAATGGGAATAGCTGCCAGGTCAAAGGGACCAAACCTCTTTCCTATCTCTTCAAACGCAGGGCAGTAACCAGTATCCCCCGCAAAGAAGAATCGATTCCAAGGCCCCAACACAGACCAGCTGCCCCACAGAACCTTGTTGTCATCCATGAGGGTCCTTTTACTCCAGTGTTGGGAAGGTGTGAAGACAAAGGTGACCTTATCATGGCCAGGGACGCAATTCTCCTCCCACCAGTCCAGCTCAATCACGTTCTCACAGCCACATTTCTGCATCCAGTCGAGAAGCCCCAGAGGCACAAACCATCTCAGCTCACTGCCAAAGCGCTCATTCAAAGCGAGGACAGAGCCATAGTCCAGGTGGTCGTAGTGGTTGTGACTAATAAGAACAGCATCTATTGGGGGGAGTTCACTTATTGTACACGGGGGACCGCAAAACCGCTTTGGACCCATGTACTGTGAGGGAGAGGCCCGGGAACTAAACATGGGATCTGTAAGGAATATGAGCTCATCCATCTCCACCATCAGCGTTGCGTGTCCCAACCATGTGACTCTCAAGCCAGCCTCTGTCACTCCAGCTTCTTTGGGGTCACTGATAAAATATGGCTTAAGCACTGGGAGTTCTTTGTCAAGTTCCTGTATATATAGAAAAGGAAAAAGCAGTATTTAGGGAGTAGAAAGATATTACATCATCACAGAAAGTGCTGTGACCTACATTTCATCGAGGAGCTATTTGGGGATAAATGAAGCCACCCAGTCCACCTGCCACTGCGGCTCATCTCTTCCACACAGGCACTGGCTTCTTTCTAGATGTGTCTTAATAACAAGCTTAGTCATCTGCTTAGTCCTGGATGCCTATGGCGGCGGCGGCGGCAAAGGAAAATCCAATTTTAAACTGAAGGGTTTTATTTTGAAGGCTGTCTTTGGAAACGCCAGCAGTAGACTGGCCTCGATGCAGTCGTTCTGCTGTTGTCTCCTCACTGAGCTGATGATGTATTTGCTGCCTAAGCCTCCAAAGCAGGCCAGTACCTGGAACCCACAGTGCAAGCTGATGGCAACTGGCATTTAACCCTTGGACACAAAATTCAAAGCCAAGCACTGTGATAATTCCTGGGGCGGGGGTGGGGGTGGGGGTCACATTCATCAATAGTTGTCTTCATTCCTTACCCTTATATGGCAGGCTGACAAGAGGGCAAAGGCAGGAGAACATGGTGAAAGAAAACTAAGACACCACTCAGAGAGTTTGAATGAGAGGCCTGGCCAGGAGAGGAAAGGCAGAGGGGATGGTAGTAATGTGTCTTGAGCCCCCCAAGACCGTTCCCCAGCTGGAAGATGGTACTGCAATGCCATGAGAACTGAATTAGGAATGGCTGGCTCACAATACACACTCTACAAGTATTCCAGAAGAAGACAGGGTGTCCCAACCCCGAAGGCCAAGCATACACCAGGCCTGTCAATCTTTTGTATTTCTGCATAGCCAGTAACCTACACTTAATAACCTAAGTAGTAGCTAGCTAGACACATCAAAGCACTTGTGACACGTGGGGACACGTGGGGACACATCAAAGCACTTGTGACTGTTCAGCTGTCTCCACACTCAATCCATCCATACAGAGTCATAAAAGTCCTCAGCAGTATACCAGATGGATATGGTAAATAGCATTTATAATCCCAGCACTTGAGAAGCTGAGGAAGAAAGACCAAGAGTTCAAGGCTAGCCTTGGTTAATATAGTAAGGCCTGTCTATAAATAAACAATGCAACAGAAGCAGTGTACCTGTGGTTAAGATGTAACTCCTTCCCTCCCGTAAGTCTTCATTGCTCTCTGCTCCCTGTCAAACCCATCTCGTCCCCTTGCCCAACAACAAGCTGCCCATGGGATGCCCAGTCCTCCCAGCTGCACTCACACTATTTATTCCTCTGAACACACTATACCCCATACTCAAGGAAACTCGTCCCATTCCTAGATGGAGTTTCAGAACTCTGCAGGATTCTGACCCATTTCTCAGATTGCCTTCACCCTCTCAGTCCTTCGAGACTGCAATTAAATTGTGCATCCTCCAAGGGACCCTCCCTAAATCTTTGCAGATGGAACCCCTCCCTACGACCCTGGATTTGCATGCTTCTAGGAACACAAGGTTCCTGTGCTCTAGTCTGCATACAGACTCCATCTCTTGTCTTATACAGCCTGGAATCATTTTAAGCACCTTGTTTAGTGACTACAACATGGGGCCTGACCAATAAAACTTTGGGGATAAATTAATGAACAAATGAATAGTAGTTTTTTTTTCAATTCTCAAAATTTACAATTAGGGTTAGAAAAAAAGTCACATTGTATATTTACCAAGAATTAAGAGGGAAGAAAATCAAAAAGATAAGATGGAGGCAAAAGAAGAAGTGCTGGGGGCACTTGCTGGTCTTTCAGAGGACCTGGGTTCTATTCCTAGTACCCAGGCTGCCCACAGCCACCCACAACTCAGGGGGCTCTGATACCCTCTTCTAGCCTCTTCAGGCACTTGCAAGCATGTGATCCACATCCCCAGGCACAAGCATTCACATAAAATAAACATTTTGTAAAGAAAGGAAAGAAATTACTGTAAATTTAACATAATGTAATTATGTGTTGGGCATAATACTAGTCATACAACAACAATGATGACAAAAATACTATATCAAGTACTTTACTAAAATATAGCATAAAATAACATTAGCAATAACTACCATTTATATTGATTTTATTGTTTAGAAATTGCACTAATTCATACAAAAAATTTAGATTTAACACAGATCAAAACACCAGAGGCAAAAACTCCTTCCATCCTACAGATGAAAAAGGAAAGAGTGACACAGATACCCTCACCCAGATCAGGCAGCTCACACAAGTCTCCATGCTTAGATGACACCCTCACCCAGGTCAGCCAGCTCACACAGGTCTCCATGCTTAGATGACACCCTCACCCAGGTCAGCCAGCTCACACAGGTCTCCATGCTTACATGACACCTTCTCCTATCAGCATACGTAGTTTCAATTAACTCGGCGTGTGTGGTGCTGAAGAACAAACTGAGGGCCTCATGCACACCAAGCATGTGGCCAACTACTAAGCTACCTGCCCCAATCCACCCTTACTTAACCTTTGTAAAGTAAGAGCTTGTGGAATAAGGGGATGACGGGCATTTTCCTTTTCTTTATTGTGGTGATCTGCTCTGCATCATTATGTCAATGTTAAAATAAAACTCATCAAATATACATATAAATACGTGGAACTTGCATTACGTTAAACTATTTTGGAATGTTTGAGCAGAACCTGGAAAATAATAACCACTGAAAACAAATGAACTTTGGTTTTGCTCTAAGTTTAAAAGCCACTTGAAGCTTGGCATTTAGAATTATCTGAATGGCTACTGGAGGGTCAAGCATTGTTGGCAGCCTCAAATGCATCATCAAGGTTATAAGAAGACAACAATGTAGATTAATAGTTCCCAGGGAGCAGAGGAGGGCGAAAGAAGCAGGGTTGGAGGGTGATGACTGAAGGACGTGGGTATTATATTTGGAAATAACAGAAATGATTGTGTGTAGTTGAACATGTCTGTAAATATAACTAAATTGTATGTTTAATGGTTCAGTTGTGTAGTACGAAAAGCCATACCAGTAAAGCTTTTCAGGTGGTGCACACCTTTAATCCTAGCACTCAGGAGGCAAAGGCAGGCAGATCTCTGGGAGTTTGAGGCCAGCATGATCCACTGAGTGAGTTCCAGGATAGCCAAGGCTACACAGAGAAACCCTACTTGAAAAAAAGAAAAACAACCAAACAACAACAAAGATAGTGACTCCATCTGAACACTCTTTGTTGTGGTGACTTGAATGAGATTCACCCCAGAGGCTTAGGTGTCTGATACGTGGTTCCTAGCTGGTGGCACTCTTGGGGTAGGTTTAGGAGAGGTGACCTTGCTGGAGGAACTGTGACACTGGGGGTGGGCTTTGAGGTCTCCAAGCCTGGCACCGTTCCCAGTTCTCTCTCTCTCTGCTTTCTGCCTGCAGTTGAAGACACAAGTTCTCAAGTTTGGCTACGGCCGTGCTTCTCCACGACGATGGACCCTCTGGAATCACAGGCCCACATAACCCTGGCCTTGTATGAGCTGCCTCGGTGGCGGTGTTGTACCCCAATCGCACAACAGCAGCTGACACATGGGTGAGCCCTTCTGCACGCTCAGCTTCTTCTCACTTACCTTCACAAATTTGCTCCCTGGAATTTACCTGGGAACTCAAACAACATAACCTACTACTGAACGACCAAGGAGACAAAATCAGGGATTTGGGGGATGACTGCATTGGTAAGGTGCCTGATACACAAGTGTGAAAATGTGAGTTCAGATCCCACATCCATAAGGAAGTCGGCATGGCATGGCTATAACCCCAGCACTGTGTGAGCGAATGGAGGATTCCTGAAGCTCACTAGCCAGCCAGCCTACCCAAATCAGGTGCAAGGATAGACTCTGTCTCAAAAACTAAGGTGGAGAGTGACTAAGGTGGATAGCCAATATCAACCTCTGGCCTCCACATACATTCGCATATACGCATACACACAGGTACACAATACCAGAAAAGGAATGAATGATCTGTAAACTTTCTGTCCCAATCACCAGAGTTTGAAAAAGCATGAGGAGCAGGAGGAAGGGAGGGAGAGAAGGAATTCTTCATTTCTTAAAGAAAGTAGGGGTTGTTTGCTTGTTTGTTTGTTTGTTTGTTTGTTTGGCTAAATTAAGATTGCCTTGGCTAATTTTCCCTCATGGAAACTGCAAAAGGAAAAATCGTAAGGCCTATAATTAAAAGGCAGTTTGGTTAATGTTTTGCTTTTCTTGAGAAAAGGGGAAAATACAATGTTTGCTGTGCCAGGTCATGTTTACGTTTAATAAGGTGATGCTAAGCACACTCTTTCTTATGGCCATGGCAAAACACCACAACCAAGGCAACTTAAAGAAGAGTTTATTGGGCTCCAGGATTCAGAGGGTCCATGACCATCACGTGGAGAGCATGGCAGCAGATAGGCAGCTGTGACACTGGAGTAATAGCTGAGAGTTTACAACCTTATCAGCAAAAATAAGACAGAGAGGAAGAAGTAACTAGAAATGGCTGGGCTTTTGAAACCTCAAAGCTTTCACCCAGTGACATGCCTCCTCCAACAAGACCACACCTCCTAATCCTTCCCAAACATTTCCACTAACTGGGGACCAAGCATTCAAATATGTGAGCCTATGGGAGCCATTCTCATTCAAACCACCACATTGTGATTTAATACTGTGACAGGTATTTCGGCCACCTTAGTGGTAAACAGACCAAAGTAGAGAGGAGTCACTAAATTTGTAGCTCACACAAGAGATAGGTAGCTCACTCAAGAGGTCAGGTCTTCATCTAAATCTCTTCTTTTCACTAAACCTTCACCTCCTTGGAATGATATTCATTCACACTAAAAGTAAGTAAAACACCACACTGAAATGGTGTTTCTTGGTCAAATTATCTACTCTCCCAAGTCCCTCCCAAGACTGCAACATAGTTGATTTGAGGTCTACAGATGTCTTTGGTCCAGGGTAGTGGCAGTAAGCTACAGGTTGTTTTACAGGGAATGCAAATCACCCAGTGATTTGGATTGTTGGTGAAAGTAAATAATGCTCTCAGCATCAAATCTACAGGGAAAGACTTTCATGGGAAACCTTCTATGGTCCAAAAAACCTTTTAGACAATTTGCCATTTAAACATCCAGGCTAAATCCTATTATAAGAAACTCTTGGGATCCGTAGTCTTTGGTTGTACTGGAATTTTGGTTTTTTCCTATACCCACTGAATATAAAGGCTACCTAGTCATGTTGAAACAAAAGGATAGATAGAATTTTCCATTGAGTAGATAAAGAAATTTCCTACAACTGTAGATAAGGAAATTTCCTACAACTGAAAAAAACATATTTTCAGACTGAAAACACCTACTAGGCACTGACGACAGTAATAAATCAGAAACAGATGCCATGGTGACATTTTAGAAAGTAGGTACCAAAGAGGTGCTTGGGTTTGCTCAGTTTTGGGGGTTTCAACCTACGCTCAAGCGGCTCTGTTGCTCTGGGGCCTGTGAAGGACAGGACATGATGGCAGGCCCTGATCTACCTGTCCAGAAATGAAAATGAAGAGGAAGGGATAAGGATGAGAGTCCTACTGTCACCTGCATGGGCACACCAGCACACCAGAAGACCTCCCCACTTAGCCCTACCTCTGAATGTCTCCACCACTTCCCATAGCATCAGCAGAGGAAGAAGCCTTTAACACATGAGCTGTGGAGTCAAGTGAAAATTAGACTACTGCAAATATCTCAGGAAATTGGGATAGAAAAAAGGCCACACGGTCAGTGAAAAGCACAAAACTGGTTCCCAAACTCCTGGAGTCCCACTTTTTTACCCAGCTATGCTGTTCTCCAATTTGACAGCCTCCTCCAACTAATGAAACTCAAGAAGTGTCTGTACCTCACCTCCTTAAATTCTGCCAAATGTTATTTTTTTCTCCCCTCTACTGGTGACTATGAATCATAATAACAATCAGACAAGGTCACAGAGGCAACAATAATGCAAAGCAACAACAGCCTCTGAACCATGTGTGCCCTGTGAGCTGACGTACTACCCTAACATTGTGACAGATACCAGGAAGGGCCCAGGAAGGAAACTCTTTCTCACCATGCAACTAAACTATGCTTCCTGCTTATGACCCACTTTATTCAGACCTATCAATTAATGTACACATTAATCATATGTTTCTTCTACAGCACTTTCACATATTTAGGTAAACAAATGCAGTATACTATAATGATATAAATAGCATAGTATATAATTATTCTATTTAAATATTATTTTCTTTCCAAAGTAATGACTTATGGCTGTGATCTTCTCATTCAATGCTGGCCTCTCAATGTCTAAGAAAACAACTTACAGAAATCTGATTAAATTAGTTCTTCATCTACTTGCCCCTGGTTTTGTTCTGGGATTTGGGGAACTGTAACTGTCACCCTTGGGCAAAGCTCAACCTTTCAGCAACTGTTTAAACACAGTTAGTTAACCCTGAAATAAACAAGGGAAGCCACTTGCACTTTCACTGAAGAAAAGGAGGGAATATGACAGGGAAGAGGTCATAAATGAAAATGCAAACTAGAGCCCGGTGATGGTGGCACACACTTAAAAACAATCAACCAGGCAGACAGACAGACTCAAACCGTAAGTGCAACAGTGAATCGGGCAGAGGGTGGTAGAGGCTTGGCTGCATTCGTCAATGAAGCGTTTCTTTTTAAAGGCAGGGTATTAGAAAGATACCTAAGGGGACTCAGATCTTTGAATATGTCAGTAAAAACGAATTCAGTATAATATCAAAGAAAGGCACATTTGCACTATTCCAGTGTGTATTTTCTTTCTTCCTTTTTTGTTTGTTTGTTTGTTTGTTTGTTTTCTTTTCCAGACAGGGTTTCTCTGTGTAGCACTGGCTGTCCTGGAACTAACTCTGTGGACCAGGCTGTCCTGGAACTCAAGAGATCAGCCTGCCTCTGCCTCCAGAGTGCTGGGATTAATGGAGGGCAACACCAACCGGCACACTTACATTTTAATACTCCACACTAGTGATTTACTGACTTTGTTTATTCACTCTTTAGCACATAATGGTGTGTCCAGCACATAGATATGCTCAGTAAACACTAGCTAAATAAATGAGTGCATGGACAGACTGGAGTTCATAAGATCCATGACGATACGATAAGCCAATGGCAACGTACTTATCTAGCCGTGTGTATTCCTCTGCAGCTTTTGTTACTTTCTCAGAAGGGACAAATATGCCCTTAAAAACCACTGGCCTGGCAGGTACTCAGAGTCAACCCAGTTTTTAGAATCTCCCAAACTGTTAGAATGAAGACATATAATTCTACCTTCATCTAGCCACTTACTCTTTGAAATAAAACAATACTGAACCTATCACTAACCTCTATTTTTAGAAGCTGTGGCTCAAAACCAGGAAGAAATTTACATGAAAAATAAACAAAAAAAAAACCCACATAGCTCACCTATCCTGACCTTATAACCCTATTCCCTCCCGTCCTAGTTTGACTATCTCTCCTCAGATGAAGTTCATCAAGGAGGAAAGAAAAGGCCAGGTGTGGTGGTGCACACCTGTGATCCCAGCACTCAGGAAACGAGGCTGCAAGAACACAAGCTCAATGCTAGTGTGGCGATAGAAAGGTTCCAGGGCAGCCTGAATTACATAGGGAGCCTGAGTCTCACAAACAAACAAACAAACAAAATAAGACGCTTTTCTTGTTCCTTGCCTCATCCTAAAACTCTCCACATACAGGGGCTGGAGAGATGGCTCAGTGGTCGAGAGCAATGGCTGCTCCTCCAGAGATTCTGAGTTCAATTCCCAGCAATCACATGGTGGCTCATGATGCCCTCTTCTGACATAAAGTCATACATGTTCAGGACTCATGAACAAACAAACAAACAAATAAATAAATAAATAAATAAATAAATAAATAAATAAAATAGTTAAAAAGCTCTCCATATATAAATGTTATCTATTAATATCTAACCTAATTCTAAAAGGTCCTTAAACAATATTGAGATCAGGCATGGTGGAACATAATCCTATACAGTTTACAAGTTTGAAACCAGCCTGTCTCAATAAACAAACAACTACAAAAAAAACAATATATTGGGCTCTAGGTTTAATCTCCAGCACAGCAAATATATGCATATATGTGCATATAAATGCACACATATACAAATATATATACCATATAGAGATTACTATGAGTATTTCTAGCATGAAAGTTATAGAAGAATTATTTTCTTCACCACCCCCCTTTATAGAGACTGGGTCTCTCTGTGTAGCCTTGGATTTCCCAGAACTCACTATGTAGATCAAGCTGGCCTTGAACTCACAGAGATCCACTAGCCACTGGTGCCTAAGTACTGGCATTAAAGGTTTGCACCACCACACTCAGCATGATGTAAGATTTTCAATACTATATCCCTTAAAGAAGATCTAACACCAAAATCAACTGCTACCCACACAGCCCCTTACCTCTTCCATTGTAAACCAGAGCTTTCAGGAAAGCCCCTAGTCTTTCCATACTATCCCTCAACTCACAAAGTCAGACACCCTGCCCCTAACTCCCCCAAAGCCAGGCAGGATCGGCATTCAAGGAAGATGATAGGTAGTACAGGGGAAACTAAGAAAGAAACTGAAAGGAAAAGAAGATGCCATGGTAATGGGACCATAACCTACTCCTCCAGCCCTGCCAAAACACATCTGACTCTTCTAGTATTCTCTATCTAAGCTACATCCTTAGTGACACTACTGCCACTGAAGGCATAGTCAACCTTTGTAGCTTTGCAAAGGACATGAAAAGATTTCTTTTGTAGCACTGGTGGCTGAGTCCAAGGATTAAAGGCATACTTTAGGTCATGCCTTACTTTTCAGAATGCACATTCCAAATCTGTATCAGCTTGTTGCTCTCTGGAACACACTGTGCGCCTTCTCACCTTTATAACATGGTTCATGTGATCATCTAACCTAGAAAGCACTGCACAATTGCTCTCTAGGTCCAGCACACATACCCTACCAATCAGAATTCAGCACTTCTACTGCTCTGCTTCTAAAGCACTTTAGCCCAGCCGCTGGCTACGACCTGCCAGGGATTATTTACACATGCACTGTGCTGCTACACTAGGAACCAGAGGACATGGGTCATAAAATTCATTTGTCCCTTCAAACTTACCATTATGTCTCTCCATACACAAACAGTTCGAATCACTAAATAGAGGGTCATAGCTCATAAAAATAAAAAAATAAAAAACTAAGTCATATATATGTATTTAAAGTATACACAAAGCATTCAAAAACAGCTAAATGCTGCCTACCTCTTTGGAAACCGGAACACTGCTGTGGTCTTTCTCCATTATCAGCCATCTAAAAACATTTGAGATAGAGATGTTTTTCCATGTCGGCCATGGGTTAACAAATCTCCCATCTTTTCCTTTCTTCGATTTAGTTACGTCTTCTTCTAGTCTATAATCCAGTTTGAAGCTTTTCCTGGAAAACCTAGAAGACACACTTCCTCCTGAATTCTGTACTGAATTTTGGCGCTTCCTTACTGTTTCTTTAGGATATTGATAGCTTGTAGTTGAAGACTGACTGTTTTCATTTTCATCCATGTCCTTTGGTGAGAAGCTTTAAAAGGAAAGTAAAAAAGGAAAGGGGAGATCACCAAGCTTAACAAAAACTCATTGTGGCAGTTTAAATGTAACTGGTCCCCATAATCACATAAGGAGTGGCACTATAAGGAGGTCTGGCTTTGTTGGAGGAAGTGTGTCACTGTGGGGGTGGGCTTGAGGTCTCATATATGCTCAAGCCACACCTAGTGTCTCAGACCACTTCCTGTTGCCTGAAAGTCAGGATGTAGGGCTCTCAGCTCCTTCTCCACCGCCATGTCTGCCTGCAGGCCACCATGTCACACCGTGATGATAATGGAATAACCCTCAGAAAATGTAAGCCACCACAATTAAATGTTTTTCCCCTTATAAGAGTTGCTGTGGTCATGGTGTTCCTTCACAGCAATAAAAACTGTAAATCAGTCATTAAAGCATGTTAATATCATTCTTAGTCAGAAATATTTCCCCAACCTTATAATAATAGCTTGTATTAATTCAAATGTTCTTGCTGGAAAAATATAATTTTAAAACCCAGTATTACTACTTGCTAAAAAGAAAAGATGTTTGCCTTCCCAATCAACATGCCAGCTAAGTCTTTCAAAGTCCCTTCACTGTTGTAACCTAAAACAACATTATTTCACTAGTCAGCATTTAGACACAAAATTGTCTGTTTCAATGACATTCTGCAGAGTAAATAGAAGCACTATTATGATTTGGATACAAAGCACTCCCCAAAAAGGCTCACATGTTAAAGGCTTGGTTCCCAACAAAGCCGTTTCCAGAGGCGGAGCTTCTGAGAAAAGACTAGATCATGGGGCTCTGCCTTCATCAATGAAGTGATCAACAGAAGAACTAGAAATCTCAATAGACCAGTGGGAGGTGCAATAATTATGAAAGCTGGGACCCGCTTGGATGGAGGGATGTACATTGGAAAAGAGATGCATTCCTATCTCTCCCTAGCTTCCCTGCTCCAACACACCCTTCTGCCATGGCATCAGCCTCCCACAGGCCCAGAGCCCTCTCCCATGTACCAAACCCTCTGTGAACCACAACAAATGCTTGCTCTTTTAAATTGCTTCCCTCAGGCACAAGTCACAGGAAGAAACACACACACACACCTTTCCGAATCCTTATTTTCATAATTGCAAATGTTCTGAACAATAAATTAAGACCTGCTTAGTTTTTTAATGATGCCTCAGTAACTCAAGTGACTTACATATAACCCTACTAAGCTAAGTCATTCTCATCCTGACGATACTCTGTAACTACTCCCCCAAAGAATAAAAGTCCACCTGCCAAGGAAGGAAACAGCATTATTAATTAACTTAGTAACAACATAAATTCTAAGTAATTCGGACTCAAAACTGCCAAGACACTGCAGTATCCTAGCTTTGAATAAATTTCCCACCTTTTCTTCAACTTGATTTTTTTCTCATCTATAAAATGGAGATAAAGACATTATTGGCTCCTAGGGTTACCGAGAAGATTAAAACATCTAAGTCAATGGAAGCACTTGGAAACCTAGGCACACACCAACTCAGACAACCTCAGTTGCTGCACCTACCATCTCCCATGCTCAAGACACTGAAATCCCTGATTGTGAAGCATGCAGAACTAAAGCTATTTCTAAGTGGGAAAATAATACAGTAAAAGTATGAAGAACTTCATTTCCTTCCTCGTATTAAGCAGACACTTGCTTTCTAATTGGTTTAGAATCAATGCATACACAATTACACACCTTATAATCCTTAAAAAAACAAACAAAAACAAGCACAAATTACATAAAACTAAATGTTATTTTCATATCTACAGAGGTGATTAAATAGAAAGATGTCAGAGAAAGAAGAAAAAGAACACAAACCCCAGGAGGAATGACGCCCAATTTTGTGTCTCTAATGTGAGGGTAAATAGTCAACCATCTGGAGAATAATCGCTGATGAAAGAAGCCACAGCTAACAAAAGCCTAAGCAAACACTGCTGCGCAGACACCACACTCTGGGGAGCGCTTGGCAGTGAGAGGGGCTCACAGGCTTCAGATCTTAGGCAAACAATCTTTCTAAGCCTCCTTTTCTCACCAGTCAAACACCTACCTACCCTGTGGAGGTTTGAGAGTCACATGATATAACGTACATTAAGTGCTTGGTACACACAAATGCTAATCCTTTGTTCTCTAATCTGGTTAACTGACCAAACATCTAAATTCTTTATGTTCTAAAGCTTAAAGTGTTCTGGATGAGGTACCTCAGTTCCCACAGACACACTTTTTGTGTCTTAAAATGTAGCCTAGATTGCAGCCTTTACATTAAAGTTAAAGTTCAGCTCCCTTATCAGACGAGACTCCTGAGTAAGCGGACATTGCTATGCACACAGATAATGCATCTCACAGGAAGAGCTTACCTGGTGTTACATTTTGCGGTAATGAGTAGCTTCTGAGATAGTTGCACTTGTTACATATATACTTACATGTCTCATCCAGGTGGTGGTGGTGCACACCTTTAATCCCAGCAGTCAGGAGGCAGAGGCAGGCCGATCTCTGTTAGTTCGAGACCAGCCTGGTCTACAAGAGCTAGTTCCAGGACAGCCTCCAAAGCCACAGAGAAACCCTGTCTCAAACCCCCCACCAAAAAAATAGTGAAGAAACAAGTCTCTATATTTACAAAACTTTTAATACACACATTGATTGTAACTGGACTTACCAATTAAATTTTGAAATGTTTGAAAAAAAAACAGTAAAAAGAAAAACAAGTATTTTGCTTCAAAGACCAAAGAGCAAAAACCTCCATCTGAATAAGGTTTGTGGAACAATATTTAGCAGTCTCCTGTAGCCAAGGCATACAAAGCTAGACGGGTGTATTTAGGAGGCCACCTGCACCTAGACTACCACACCAAGCAGACCTTGTCTATACTTTGGGCAACCACAGAACACTGAAGATGCTTAAAAAGGGTCCTTTAAGAAAGACAACTCCAGTAACATGGTAAAAAGTGAAAAGAACAGTGTAGAGACTCGAACCAGGGGTGGGGGTGGGGGTGCATGCCTTTAGCCCCAGCACTTAGGTGGCAGAGGCAGGTGGATCTCTGTGAGTTCAAAGCCAGCCTGGTTAGCATATTGAGTTCCAGGACAGTCAGAACTACATGAGAGGGACCCTTCGAAAGAAAGAAAGAAAGAAAGAAAGAAAGAAAGAAAGAAAGAAAGAAAGAAAGAAAGGAAAGAAAGGAAAGAAAAGAAAAAAAGAAGAAAGAAGAAAATAAACACAACAACAAGCAAACAAAAACTAACCCAACCATAGAGCCAGGGAGCTGGGTTACTGAGTAGAAAAGAAAAGCCCAGGACACCAACTCACAGCAAAGCACCAACCACATGTTCATACATTTCATTTAAATTAAGGCTGTCAGGACACCCTGAAGTTAGGAATCATAATCTCCAGTTTTTAATTGACATATTCAAAAGCAGACAGCCCGGCCAATAGAAAATGAGCAAAGAGGTAAAAATCATTAAGATGAATCACGGAGTGGAGTCAACAGAGTTGAAGAGAGTAAGATGTGAAGACATTGGGATGGCTGGAAATTGGGGAAGCTTGGGGATGAGGCAGTGGACGGAGTCCAACCTGGGGAAAAAGAGTTTGATGTCACAGGGAAGCAAGGCTCCAAGTACAAAAGTCCGTGCGCCCAAATGGAGATGGACAAGATCCAAGCTGCTGCGAAGTTGCTCAGAATGACAGGAAGAGCACAGAGAAGGATCTGGAAAGAGATGAGTGATATCTGTTCCCTAGACAACCCGGTTTTCCCCAGTGTCCTACCTCTGAATCCCTTGGGCTTTCTCCCCAATCAATCTATAGAACAAACAGGTCTGCACACCATTCTCACCTGGTACCTCCCATGACACACACACACACACACACACACACACACACACACACACACACACACACGATCGGCAGGGCTGGTCTTTTATAGGCAGATCCAACACAAACAAAACAAAAGAGAAGGGTTGAAAAGCTTCGTCAACTGACTGGAAGGAACCCAGCAGAAATTATAGTACCTTTAACTAATGAGGAAATTTCCTCCTTATGAAAGGATAATGAATATTCGCAAATAGCTGAATTACTGACTTTTTGGGAACAATTTGCAACAATTATCCCAAAACTGACAATTAAATTCATAAAAAAGACAATTTGGATCCTTCCATGTATTGTAAGACAAACTTCTATTTCTGGAGTCCCTACCTTCTACACTGATGCAAACAAATCAGGTAAGGCAGGTTATAAATCAGAAGAGGTAAGTAAAGAAGTTCAAAGTCCATATAAATCTGTACAGAAGGCAGAATTATATGCAATTCTCATGGTACTCATGGATTTTACAGAACCTCTTAACATAGTTACTGACTCTCAATATGCAGAGTCATTTTACACATCAAGACCACTGAATTCATTCCTGAAGATACGAAATTAACTTCACTGTTTATACAATTATAAGAAACGATCAGGAATAGGACTCATCCGATATATATAACTCACAACAGATCCCATACGGGTCTGCCAGGCCCTCCGGCACAAGGCAATGACAAGATTGATCATTTATTAATAGGAAGTGTGCTAGAAGCCTCAGAATTTCATAAAAAAAACACCATGTAAATAGCAAAGGTTAAAAAGGATTTTTCCATCACTTAGCAACAAGCCAAGGAGATAGTGAGAAACTGTCCTACCTGTTCCTTCTATAATCAAGCTCCATTGCCAGCAGGCTGTAATCCTAAGGGCATTCAGAGAAATGAGGTTTGGCAGATGGATGTGTTTCACTTTCCAGAATTTGGAAATTTAAAATATGTACATCATACTATAGACACATTTTCAGGGTTTCAATGGACTACTGTTCTTAGCTCTGAAAAGGCTGATTCTGTTATCACACACCTGTTAGAGGTAATGGCCATTACGGGTATAACTGCACAAATAAAAACTGACAATGCTCCAGCATATGTCTCCAGCAAATTGGACCAGTTTTTTAAATATTATAACATAAAGTATGTTACCAGTATACCACACAATCCCATAGGACAAGCAGTAGTAGAGAGATCTAACTACACTCTAAAAGAAATGCTCCATATACAGGCAGGGGGACAAAGACCCCCAAACACAGATTACAAAA